TCTCTCTCTCTCTCTCTCTCTCTCTCTCTCTCTCTCTCTCTCTCACCCTCCCTCCCTCATTAATTAAGAAAAAGGTGTCTTGAAAGAAGCCAGATGGTTGAGGAATGTGCCGCCTGAGGGCGCACAGCTCTGTGGCTCTGAGAAGGCAGGCGCCAGACAGACTGACCAACCCCGGGGAGACCCACTTTCTACACCCCAGTGAAGATGCCGGTGACATGGTGGCACTTCTACCCTCTGATTTCAAGTGCCAGCCCAGGGATGAACCAGAGGACTGGGTTGCATGTGGCTGCCACGTTGTTTTGTTACGGAGCCCACCGAGGAACGGGGAACTTTCTCCAAGACGACCCCCCTGCAGTGTTAAAATTACTCGCCCATTGCGCTGGGGAACCAGCCAGGTGGGGGTGACCAGCGGGCATCAGAGGCTCAGGGCCTTCATGCTGTTTGAGGCTCCAGCTATATATAAAAATAAACGAACACATACTTTTAAAAGGTCTTAAAAATCATGAAATCTTTTCACATAAGTACTTTGAAATAATTGATGCTTTCAGCACATAGAAAGAAAAAAGCACAGTAATTGTTTATGGCTGAAAGCATCTCGGGTTAGGGTCCCCGGACACGTGACCCCCCCATACCACCCCCCCACCTCCTGACTCTTGTCCTCCTACCCTTACAGGCTGGGAGGGTGGCTGCAGCCGCCTGGAGACTGGTCCTATGGAGGCTTTCCTGGAAGGGGCAGCCCCAAGTGTCCATCCACACACATGGATGGGTCTGAGGGAGGCTGAGGTCTGAGCTCAGGCCATCCAGGGGTTCTCAAGGAAAAAGCGTGCTGCAGCCTGGTGGCTCTGGGAGGAACTGGAGAACTTGCTGAGGTATGTGATCCTGGCCTCCTGATGGCAGGGGGTGCAGGGGAGGTCGGGGGACAGGAGAAGGAAAGGGAGAGAGAGAGAGAACAAAACAGAAAAAGAGGGAGAGAGAAGGGAGATAAAGGATTTTTTTCCCCTCACTATTATGAAACACATTTTCAGTGAGATCATTCAGGACACTGACCCCCGATGAAGGGGACGGGGACTTGTTGACACTGTCCAGGATCCAAGGACAGATAGCTTCACCACGTTCGTTATGTGACTTGGGAACGCCGTCCGCCCTTTCCTGTCATTAACAAGAGCTATGTCACGTCATCTCACAGCAGTAGGCTGATGGCCTAGAGCCTGGATGAGACGACACTTGCCAGCGACGTCATCGTGGTCTGCCCAAGGAGAGACCTTCCCCCACAGAATGACGCGATATGAGGGGGACGCAGGGTAACATCCACCCTCCCCAGCAAGTGTCCACTAGCTCTGTGGTAATCTGCCCGATGTATGAAATGAAAGTGAAGACGAAACAAAATTCAGCTTTCGTTCCATCAAAAGTAAAGAACATTTTTAAAGTGAGGCCTTAGAGGATGGAGCCTACAGACAGGTGACAAAATGCACGCGTGCGTGCACACACACACACACACACACCCTCTATGTACCTCTGGAAGTAGGTGGCTTGACTGCTGTCAGATGGTCAAGGTGGTTTGGTAGCACAGGAGGTGGATGGATGAATTTTTCTGAGTAAGGATTTTGGGGGCAGAGAAATTGTGAGTCATTAGGTATTGAATAATATTTCCATGACTGCCACGCTCTGCTCCTCACAGGGCTGACCCGACAAAGGGTAGATTTGTTCCTCATTCGTTGATGTGACAACTGTAAAAAGATCAAGGCTCTTGGTGACAGCCAAACAATTCTCAGCCAGAGCAAAGAAAATCTATTTTGCCTGACGCTCGAGTTAGAGATTTGGTTGTCAAGTTCCACCTGTCCCCCAATGAGATGCCTTTTGGCAAGCTTTACAAGCCCATGTCCTTTTTTGTCTGTTTCATTTGTCTGTGGTGTACCACAAAGGGCTGTATCCACCATTCTGCAAATCGTAGAAGATTTAGCTGTTGGTTTGACCTGATCAGCATTCCTCTATCTTTGTGTTTGCTACAGATTCCTTACTTGCAGCCATGTCCACATCCACCCATGCTCACGTGTATATACACATCTGTACATAAGTGATACTACTGATCTGTTACACAGTAAAAAATTGCACTGATGTACACTGAATATCTCTCAGCTGCTGGGGACCAGGACCTGGAGCTTAGCTTAGCTTGGGTCCTCTGGTTTTCATAGGCTGCAATGGAGGTATTGGCCAGGGCTGAGGTCTCATCAGAAAACTCAACTGGGGAAGAATCCATTTTTGAGATTACATGGTCATTGGTGGGAGTCAGTTTCTCCCACAGGCTATTGGACTGAGGACTTTAGTTTCACGCTGGGTATTGGCCAAAAGGCACCATCACTTTCTTGACATGACAGATTCATCTGTTTTCTGTGTAATCTTGAACAGGACTATTCCAGGAAAATATTAATGTATTATGCAACGACTTCCTTGTAACAGAAGTTCATGCCCATCCAAAACAAATCTTAAATGATTATTGTAGAAAACAAGTCCCAAAATGAACCTTGAGTTCCAAAGGATAAAGAGAGCAATTGTCCTAATAATATTTCGGCAGCCCTAATGTATTCAAACTAAAATTATACACCATGTTGCATTCAGCAGTGATTCTCTATTTCCTTCTCCATTAATATGAGGGCAGACTGTTTGCTCTATGTCAATCAACAAAGTACAACTATTCCATTTCCTATTTTGTCCCCCCCCATACTAAACTTCTTTCTTTTTAAATATAGGTTATCTGAAGTAAAAAGAATGAAATTAGTGAGAGAGGCAATATACATATATATAATATATAACCCTAGATAGTATATAAAATTATAAAATATAAATGCATATGTAAATATATGTGCATATTTTATGTAACCTTATGTATTATATATCACCCTTCTCTATTTTATATAGTATATGCATTTTAATGTTATATATTACTTTATATATGTAGACATTTTCATGATTTTTATATATAATGTTATTTCTAGTGGTACAAGTCCAAGTAACCAGGAGAGAGGGAGTTTTATGTATATTTTTCATACTTTTGAAGGGTAATATGTGTTGTTGTTTGTCAAAGGGATATAGTCATCGGGAAATCGCTTCATAAAATGTCTTAGGCAGTAGCAGCAGGAACGTTGCTGCAAAAGCGTCATTGAACAAAGACATGTACCTCTTTGGGGCCACTTATTTTGGAATTCAATATCCTTGGTTTTCAAACAAAAGCATGAGTTAATGGATTTCTCATCCCCAAATGAAGGTAGTGAAAATCAGGAGCTTGAATGCTTTTCCAAAACCAGGGCCATTTAAAAGTCATTTAGTGATAAAATAATAACCAGGGAGAGACTTTTAAATAAGCAGATGGGAAAACCACACAGAGCGTATCTCAAGGGACAAAGGCTTAAGTGAGACCAGAAATAGACTTTCGCCTACATGGATTCCATCATTCCCATTTCTCAGGTGCAAAAATGTAAATAACTGAATGCACAACCTGCTGATTGGGAAATAAAAACTTTAATATTTTCCTTAAAACTTTGTCAATCTTATAGCATCTTTACCTATAAAACCAATGGGAGTAGTAGGTAAGACCATCTCTGTGTATTCCAACTAAGTTTCTATAACTAAATTAACATGTGAAGAAGAGGTTCTTGTATAGTACTAGGATGAGAAAGCCTCATTGACGCGATGGACATTAATTTGAAATTAATAATAATTCAACGTCAACTGGTCTCAAGTTTCCTTTGTATCATTGAAAGGACAAGTTTCATCTAGCAATTGTGGAGTGTAAAATGCGACCAAATGAAATCGCTAAACCTTAAGAGAGTAAATATCTTTCAAGTCTCCAGCATATGTCTCTTACTCAATCTATGTTGTTAATTGTCTTACATTATTATCTAGTCATTAAACCCAGTTTGGGAATACTACTACTTAAATGTTTCATAACAAATTGAGTATGTAGGATACCCTAGTTGTATTAGTTACATGTAATATATATATATATATATATATATATATATATATATAT